GGGGCGGCGGTACGTGAGCGAGCGGCTGGACCGGGAGGAGATGTGCGGCGAGGCGGCGTCCTGCTCCGTCAGCTTCGAGGCGCTGCTGCACAACCCGCTCAACGTCTTCCACGTCCACGTCGACATCCACGACGTCAACGACAACGACCCGCGCTTTCTGCAAGATGATTTCCAGCTGGAGATCAACGAGTTGACTTCCCCCGGCGCACGGTTTTACTTGGGCATGGCAGAAGACCCGGACGTGGGCAGCAACGCGCTGCAGGGCTACGAGCTAGAGGACAACAAATACTTTGTTGTGGAAATTAAAAAGAGGCAAGACGGCAAGAAATTCGCAGAGCTGGTGCTGCGCCGAGCGCTGGATCGGGAGAGCGAGCAGAGCCTGCGGCTGGCGCTGGGACGGCGGCGACCCGCCCCGCAGCGGCACCGCCCAGCTCTGCATCAACGTCACCGACGCCAACGACAACGCGCCCGTGTTCGCGCAGGATCGGTACCGGGTGAGCGTGCGGGAGGACGCGCCGCCGGGATCCACGGTGCTGAACGTCTCCGCCTCGGACGCCGACGCCGGCAGCAACGCGCGCATCACCTACGGCTTCCTGGAAACGCCGGTCAAGGTGCTTGAGAAGTTCGTGGTGGACGCGGAGAGCGGGACCATCACGCTGCAGGAGGCGCTGGACTATGAGGACACGAGAAGCTACACGTTGCTGGTGGAGGCTAAGGATGGAGGTGGTCTGGTGGCACACTGTGAAGTGGAGGTGGAGGTGCTGGACGTGAACGACAACGCGCCCGAGGTGACACTGACGTCGGTGTCGAGCCCGGTGCCCGAGGACGCGCCAGTCGGCACCGTGGTGGCCCTGGTGAAAGTGCGGGACAGAGACTCGGGCGAGAACGGCGCCGTGTGGCTGGAGCTGTCGGGCGAGGCGCCGCTGTCGCTGGTGGCGTCGTCGGGCGGCTCGTACAAGGTGGTGACGGCGAGCGCGCTGGACCGGGAGCAGGCGGCGGAGCAGCGCGTGTGGGTGGTGGCCAGGGACCGGGGCAGCCCGTCGCTGTGGA